GACTCAGTCTGCCTACTCTTCTCTTTCTACAAAGGTACAGTATTCATATCAGAAATTGCACAACTAATACCAAAAGATTACAGTGGCAAATACTTCGTTTACTCTGCAATCTAAACTCCAAATGAATTTTTTTAAGGAAATGAAAATCAATAAAGAGAAATAATTTTAAGAGTTCAAGACAGGCAAAAAATAAAAAAAAGTGGGACACGTTGGTTAGCAAGAAGAGGTATCAGGCTACATAATGTTAATGACATTGACACTTACTGCTCAATTCGGGGTGACAAGTAGAGCTTGGGATACACTTGGGTAGCTTCAGTGTCCTCAAAACTGACTGAAAGGAGGGCCACATCTTCTCCAGGGTCTTCGTTTACATCCTTAAACAAGAAGTAAAAACAATAATGTCATCAGCACCTGCTCTCATAACCCCTTATTAAGAACAAGCTCATAGTCCACTAGCATCGAAGCCATGGCTATGAGTTACCCTTATTCCAACTTAGCAGCTCAGCATCCTTTGCCACACACCTAACACTCTTCTAGTGATGGCTTTCAAACTTTCTGCACAACACCCACCAAGGGGAGGCAAAAGGCTCCACCCATCTCAATTGTTCCCATGTCCAGGGGAGGGTATTTGTGAATCTGGTGGTAATAAAGTATTAGACAAAAACATAACTAACCAATTGCAGTAAACAGATTGCTATAAACATGATTTATATCCTAAAACACCAGCAAAACATTAAAATATCCAGTAATTTTATTACACCTACCTTGACAGTATGCTATAACTTATGTAAATAGCAAAATGTCCCAGTAAACACACCATAAAGTGTGTCGCCATATAAGCAAATGGCGGGGGGGGGTTAGGTACACAACTACTTTAGCAAAATGATTATGGATGATTCACATGTGACCCACAAGACACACATATCTTAAAAGTCTAGTTATAAGAACATTATAAGACAAAAACATTGTTGATCAAAGTATGTACCAATAAGCATTGTGAGATTAACCAAATAGTCCATAATAAACTAAACCAATAATGATAAAGCTAAGCTTATTGTAATTTATAATTAAAAAGAATAGCAGCAATTGAATATCACAACCAACTCAAGCCAACACTGATGATACTTTGCTGAAGTGTCCTGAATCAAAATTGTGGAATTTACAACTATGTGCATGTGCTTTATGATTATTGCCAAGCACCAAGTGTCTGCCAGACTTCTGAATAAAATACTGAATTAAAATAAATCTAGTAGCATGTTGATTTTCATTTGTGACTACCAAATTTAGTAACTCAATTTGTTTTTGGTTGGTTGTAGCTCTGAATCAAATATAAAAATTTTAAACAGTTAATAATTTTTGAACACTTAACTTCTTTCACCCATAGGGATTGATAAGAACCAACCCATATTTCTGGATCAGTTCACAGGTCATCTAGAGGACTCAGCGGACATACCATGGTGGGGTCTCAACCTTAGACTTTAAGACTTCCATGAGCACTGAGAACCTTAGATACGGATGTCCTTCATCTGTCTGAAACTATGGTCATCAAGCTCATCGTCACACTCACCCTGCCCAGCTCTAACATCTTCAGTCTCCTGGCTCTAACTTCCATTGTGCCTTAAGATGCACAAGTGTGACATGTATACACAGGGACAAGGAACATAAGTCTCTCTCATCCTAAAAAGTAAACATTTTAAAAGGAAAGAAAAGAATCTTGCTGGACTCTACAGTGTCCCCTGGATTCTCTCTCATCTCCCACCTCCCCTTCACACTCTGTCTCTACTCCCTTCCCTCCCACTTATCCCTTTGCCCACTGCAATAGCCTACTGACCCTACTAGTTCATCAAGACTGCTCCCACCAAAGGCACCCACTAAACACAGCAAATGCTTCTCTGTCCTTTTCTTGCTTATAATTTAGACATTATTTGACGTGGACGATCACTTGCCTCTGGAAATGCTCTCTTTTCTTGCTTCTAGGAAACTACACTCTCCTGGCTCTTCTCCTGTCTCTTTGGCCACTTCCCCTTCCATTATCATTCTTTATTTTTTTAATTTCTTAATT